TAGAACCGCCCCCCCCCCCCCCAGAGTGGTACATTTGTTTCAATTGATGAACCTACACTGACACATCATAATTACCCAAAGTCCATGGTTTACATTAGGTTACCCTTGATGCGTGTTCTATCGGTTTGGACGAATGTATAATGACATGGATCCACAATTACGGTGTGCAGAATAGCTCACTGCCCAGAAACTCCTCTGCGCTCCTATTCATCCCTCCTTCCCCCCAACTCTTGGCAACCACTGATTCTTTTACTGACAACTTTTTTAAAATTCAAGGAATGCATCTGTATCATGAGGTTACTGACTAAACTGTACTACATTTTGTGTATGTATACTCAGTAATTTACTTAACTAGTACACTGTTGATAAACACAGATTGTTTAGTCTTTGGGTTTTTTTGAAATTTTTTATTTTTCACTGGAGTATAGTTGATTAACAGTCTTGCGAGGGTTGTTGTTTCTCTTTAACTCTGAGAAACAGTAGTTCAGTAAACAGGCCTGCTGTACTCTTCTGCACACACTTATGATTATCTCCTGAGGCCGTCCACACAGATGGGAAGCGGCAGGGGCAAAGGACATGCACTTTTTACATTTTGAGGCAAAGTGCTAAAATCTCCAGAAGGGTTGTAACTACTACTAAAAGTTCATGAGATTGCTCATTTCCTTAGATCCTTCCCAGTACTGGGGTGTTTATTTTTTAAAGCCCGTACTAACTCTCTCTTCTTTTACCCTTGACTCCAACCTGAAAGAACTGCAGAACCGCTTCATGTAGTAACATCACCTGCTGGCTGAAAGACCTTCAGGTGAAAGGAGAATACTTCCTTAATGTGTCTACCAGAATCTGGAATGGGACCTTCGCAGTAGTAAGTATCAGCTCTGTTTATTCGGCTCATTGATAGCATTGAAACATAAGCCTTCACCGTCAATAAGGTCGCACCCTCTGAAAAAATCAGCATTCTGACTAATGTCAGCCGTGCCCAATGACCCAGAGCAATCTTACCTTGGAAGGCAGTATGCTTCCATCCCTTTCCAAAGCTTGCCCAACCTGGCTGTGCCTCAGAATCACCTGGGCTGCTTGTAAAGCATCTGCTTCTTAGACTCCATGCCAACCTGCTAGAGCAGAATCTCTGGAAATGGTGTCAGGATCCCCTCGGCTGCCTGGGGTGTAACGGGCCACCTGCTCTGTCTTCCTCCCACTGCTCTTGACTTTTCTGACTTCCGGCCTCCTCCACCACACCCGAATCAAAGTGCCTCAATTCCCTGTGCTCCCACGTGACTGTTGATTGATCTCAAACTACCTGGTAGATGAACCTAACCTAAGAATCCATCTTCCTATATTAGAGCCAGGTGTAACCACTCTGCTCCCCTGTTTTTAATCCCTTCTCTGGTGAAAGCCCCAGTGTGCTCACAATTTTTTTTAAGTCATTGCAGTCTCACAAGTTTGAGGAATGTGCCAAAACAGTGTCAGAGTGTTTTCCCAATTGGCAGGTGTGACTTGGCAGTAGTGATACCTGCTTTCAGCAGAGATTTCGGTAGCCAGAATTTCAATCTGGCACGGGAAGTGTAAGGATGGACAGAGCTCCTTAAATCTGACTACATACGCGGCGAGCTGTTCATTTTACTAACACTGGCTCTGATTGAGGCAGCAAAATAGAAATTAGTTTGAAACCTCCAGGGGGCCTTGTGGCTCTCAGTGAATTTTTTTTAAACGAATAAATCAGTCTTCAAGGTGCTTACCAACCATACCCTACTCCCTATTTTCTAACCACTTCATGATCTCTCCAACAAACCCCTCCCTGCTATGGAGTTATGTCACATCAGAGAACTTGGCCCCCTCCGAACTTGGCCCCGGAAGCAAAATATAAGCAATATTCTTCGATAAAGACACAATAGAAAGAGGAATTGTGAAAGGCAGGTGAAAAACTAGAGAAGTGGAGGAGTGAGGAGTTGGGTTTTCTCCTTGTTTGCCTTTATTTGGTTTTCTTGTTAGTTGCATTTGCTTTCAAGCCTCTAAATCCTGTAAGACGCAAAGCAGGCAGTTATACCATCATCCCAGCTGCTGCAGTTTGGCGCTCAGTTTTACCCATTGGATCTTGGCTCCTTGGATTTGAGGAACAAATGTTTTCATAGTAACTTTTGCCAGCTGGGAAGGAAAACTGACTGTTGCGAATCAAAAGGCAATCACGCCGGCTCTGTAAAAAGCATCTGGTTTTTCTTGAGTTTGTTTAAAGCTACATCATTTTAACTGTAAGACTTTTTATAGTACCTTCCCCAAGGTTTTCAGAAGCAGCAGTTTCACTTCTGGAAGCAAAATTCTGAAGAAGTGTATTATTTATGCTTTTTCAACATGGTTATTATGATAGTTAAGCTGAAAAACACCCATGAGAGTTATTGCATATCACGTCCTACACATCTTCCTCCTTCATGAAAGGTCAAATGTTTATCCCCACCTTCTTTTGAACCATTTCAACAGTGGATGTTCTCAGACCATCTAGGAGATCCAGTCTGAAATACGAATCCTACTTCCTGTATTAGAGCCCATGAATATACTACCTTTTGCCCTTTTTATGAGGCAGTGCAAGTCAACATTTCGAGTAATTTCATCACGAAGTGATTGCTCAGGCTTCCAAATCAGTGGCATTGTTGGTTGCCCTTTGTAAGGAAAAGGCTTGTTGAATGCTAGCAGGTGTGTGACTTCAGTCTCCTGGGTGTGCACGGTACCCCTACCGTTACTTGTTAACCCTGCAGGATACTGCATACCCGTGCAAAGGGCCAAACTTAGGAGGGCAGATATATCAGTGTTGTAAGGACATTTCTTTCATCTCTAGTCTGCAGGGACTATTAAGTAAGAACATTCACTTAACTGTTGCTCCTTTTTAAATTTAAACCATCATCAATACTCCTAATGTTCCCCAAATAATGTATGTTTGAGAGACCAGTGATCAGGGTTAACTTCTACTGCAATTTTCCATCTTGAGAAAATTAAGGCTAATCAGAGACTGAGCCAGTGGAAAGGAAATAAATTGCTCACTTTTTGGATATGCATTCTCTCTTTCTGGCTCCCAGATATAGTTTAGCAAATTACCTCATGGAGTGTATTGAATTATGTGCCCTAGTAACCACAAAAACTAAATCCTAGTAGCCAGATCATGTGAAGGCAGTTCTCAAATCTGGGCATTGTATTCCATCTCGAAATAAGCGTCAGTCCCGATACTTGATTATAGAGAAAACAATATACACATCGGTAATGCATCCACTGAAAAACAGATTATTTTTCTGTAACTAGATTCAGGAATGCATGTAAAATTATTTCATTTTTGGAGGTTACTAATAACATCAGCATAAAATGTATGTCCTTCCTATATGCCTGCCCCAAATCCAGTATTTTTTATAAAAATGCTTAGATTAGGAAATCTGAAATTATTACTCACGTTATCTAGCACTGACACAAGGTTTAGGATGTCTGCCACTGACATGCATGGTCTTTAAACAGTATTATTTTACACATGTGTACCCAGAAGAGAAATTCTCTTCCTTTTGAATCTGATTTCACATTGTTTTGTGACTTATTCAGGTAAATATTTAAAAACACCAAGTTTTCAATTTTCTATCATGTCACAAACTTCGTTGTTTTTAAAAACCTAAACTATGATCTTTCCCAATTAAAAACTTCATTTCTAAACCCTGTTTTTCACCCCTGTTTACAAGTTAAGAGTTACCGGGAGAGACGCTTTAACTGGCTGGTATCTAAACCCCCCCCCCCAGAGACTTTTTTTTTTTTTTTAACCTCTTTATTGGAGTATAATTGCTTTATAATGGTGTTAGTTTCTGCTTTATAACAAAGTGAATCAGTTATACATATACATATGTTCCCATATCTCTTCCCTCTTGCATCGCCCTCCCTCCCACCCTCCCTATCCCACCCCTCTAGGTGGTCACAAAGCACCGAGCTGATCTCCCTGTGCTATGCGGCTGCTTCCCACTAGTTAGCTATTTTACGTTTGGTAGTGTATATATGTCCATGCCACTCTCTCGCTTTGTCACCGCTTACCCTTCCCCCTCCCCATATCCTCAAGTCCATTCTCTAGTAGGTCTGTGTCTTTATTCCCGTCTTACTCCTAGGTTCTTCATGACATTTTTTTCTTAGATTCCATATATATGTGTTAGCATACGGTATTTGTCTTTCTCTTTCTGACTTAATTCACTCTGTATGACAGACTCTAGGTCCATCCACCTCACTACAAATAACTCAATTTCATTTCTTTTTATGGCTGAGTAATATTCCATTGTATATATGTGCCACATCTTTATCCATTCATCTGATGATGGACACTTAGGTTGCTTCCATGTCCTGGCTATTGTAAATAGAGCTGCAATGAACATTTTGGTACATGACTTTTTTTGAATTATGGTTTTCTCAGGGTATATGCCCAGTAGTGGGATTGCTGGGTCATATGGTAGTTCTATTTGTAGTTTTTTAAGGAACCTCCACACTGTTCTCCATAGTGGCTGTACTGATTGACATTCCCACCAGCAGTGCAAGAGGGTTCCCTTTTCTCCACACCCTCTCCAGCATTTATTGTTTCTAGATTTTTTGATGATGGCCATTCTGACTGGTGTGAGATGATATCTCATTGTAGTTTTGATTTGCATTTCTCTAATGATTAATGATGTTGAGCATTCTTTCATGTGTTTGTTGGCAATCTGCATATCTTCTTTGGAGAAATATCTGTTTAGGTCTTCTGCCCAGTTTTGGATTGGGTTGTTTTTTTGTCATTGAGCTGCATGAGCTGCTTGTAAATTTTGGAGATTAATCCTTTGTCAGTTGCTTCATTTGCAAATATTTTCTCCCATTCTGAGGGTTGTCTTTTGGTCTTGTTTATGGTTTCCTTTGCTGTGCAAAAGCTTTGAAGTTTCATTAGGTCCCATTTGTTTATTTTTGTTTTTATTTCCATTTCTCTAGGAGGTGGGTCAAAAAGGATCTTGCTGTGATTTATGTCATAGAGTGTTTTGCCTATGTGTCCTCTAAGAGTTTGATAGTTTCTGGCCTTACATTTAGGGTTAGGCCAGAAAGCTTTCGACAAAATTCAACACCCATTTATGATAAAAACTCTGCAGAAAGTAGACATAGAGGGAACTTTCCTCAACATAATAAAGGCCATATATGACAAACCCACAGCCAACATCGTCCTCAATGGTGAAAAACTGAAACCATTTCCACTAAGATCAGGAACAAGACAAGGTTGCCCGATCTCACCACTATTATTCAACGTAGTTGTGGAAGTTTTAGCCACAGCAGTCAGAGAAGAAAAGGAAATAAAAGGAATCCAAGTCGGAAAAGAAGAAACTTCGTTTAATTTGCTATGGCAGGGCCCAGTCACCCGCACGGTTTAAGTTCCCACATGGGGTTTTAGCATATCGGCGATTTAAGCACACGCAGATGCTTGAGTCTTCAGAGTTGGCATTTGCTCTTGTCACTTTCCACAAGAACATAAATAAGGAACATGCCAAGTTTTATACATTAATTTCTGCTAGGATAAAATATACTCTTTATTCTTCTTATGTTCCAGTCAACTTTTCAGACAGTACAGCTGACAGCAGCAGCAAAAATCGACACCTATAACCCTGAGATATACGCGATCGAAGAAAACACCGTCACGGTGAGTGCATCACATCCCTACCTGTGGGCGCTGGAGTCTCTGACAGGCATTCCATTTCTGACCATTTACAACAGTCACTTTTGCATCTACATGTATATAGAAGTATCTTACTGAAACTCTGAAAGGCTAATGTTTATCATGCTGAGCTTTTGATAAGGGTGTTTGCTACTCAAAAAAGGCCCCTGGTGTACTTGCCCTCCCCCTCGTGCCCACGCTGGCAAAGCTGGATCAGAAGTGATGATCTGACAGGAGGCACAAGGGGCCCCATCTTGCTGTGGCTCCCTCCGCCCTGCTCCAGGCATCAACCAGCACCATGGCTCCTCCTTTCTGCTCATGCTTATACAAAGCAGTTTACATCCTCGGCCATGAAATCTAAGTCATGCTCCTTTGAATCATACATAGTATTTTAGAGTATTTTTGAAAGTGCTTAAGTACACTTAATAAATAAGGCATTTATTAGAGGGCTTTTTCTTTTTTTTAGCAGTACTCCTTAAAACTAGACACTGACACTGTGTGAAACATCCATTCATTCATTAGATCTTCAGTCTAGAAAACTATAAATGCTTCTCTTGATTTAAAAAAAAAAAAAAAGGGTTTGGCAAAGAAATGTACGTTCACAGAAAACAAAGGCTCACTGTTCCAAGAGCTGGCACGGGACAACTTTCCTTTGCACTGGAACTCTGGTTAGAATATGCCATATTTAGATATAGCAGGATTTCCATGCTCAGCTAATCTGCTGGCAGAGCCCTGGGCATCTTCCTCCCAACGCTTTTGTTAGGAATTGGAAGCCAGTTCAAGACTCCGCCCCGAGGCCAGCTTGGCAGCTGGCCCCAGGCCACTAGTCCACTGCTGCAGTCTATGGACTTGGCTAAAAAGCCAATGGCCTTGTGAACTCTGGAACTCTCTCGAGAGGAGCTCGAGAGTGGAGCTCACAGCCCTGCTGTCCCACTGTTGCCCCAGCAAAAATGATTCCACACAGAGGATGCTGCTCTGCTTCTGGTTTAGTACTATCAGCGAAGGCCCGCACCCTCTCTTCAGAGGCTGGGGTGTGGAAAATCAGAAACGGAGCCAAAGGAAACGTGGGCTTCAAATTCAAAGTGCTATGAACTAAGCCTCGGGAGGGGGGGAGTACTATAGATATTTTAAAAGTTCATTTCAGAAAAATGTAGTGTTCAGACAATACCTGGACCTCTGCTGAAATCTGGGCTTTTTTAGAAAGCAGTATTAAATAAATGCATTAATTAAAAATTCAAATTAACAATTTCAGTGAACCTTTTGGGAGATTTTTCTTTTCATGGTTTTCTCTTAGCAATACTGATAAGTAATAGAGGCCAACTATTACTTGTGTCTATAAAAATATTTTTTGAATCCAAATAACTTAAATAAATTTTAAAATTATATTTTGGAGTCCAAATAATAAACTGATCTATCCCTATAGGTAGACAAGTGATTCTTAAATTTATTTGAATTCCAAGCCCACTTAAAAAGCCGATACAAAAATCATGTACTCATAGTTCCCTAAAGATCCATGGAGCCTGGATTAGGAAGTTCTAGAATAGAGAGAAGTAAGGATATGACTGCCACTAAGCAGTGAACTACATGAATCTAGTTATTTTATTCCTAAATTTATAAAGCCTTAGTTTAGCTCTTAAAAATCCAAATGAGAAGAAATATAGTCACCAAAAGGCCAGACTCTCAAGTTTAGGCACCAAAAGGCCAGACTCAAGTTTAGGCCAACTCATAAATTCTGTGGTGAAAAGCAGCTTATCTGCCACTGTAATTCAGTGTTAAATCAAGTCAATAAATTAGGTTTTCTCCCCTTGTTTGGCTCCAAAATTAACTCTTTAAAAATGGTTGTGATTCTTTCCCCAATTAAAAAAAAAAAAAAAAAAAAAGAACTTCACAGCAAAAGAAGTGCAACAATGAGCCCATACTCATGGAATGTACAAATAAAAAAAAAAAAAAAAAAAAAAAGAATATACAGTTTTACTGTTAGAACTCTTATGGCAGCCATGCTATTACAAAGCCGCAAAGACTGCCAGGAAGTGGACTTTAAGAATTATGTGTAACCTCAAGGGCAATTTATCACTGAAAAGGTCAACTTGAGCCCTGAGATATTACTTCTACTTGTTAACCATCCATATCGAGTAAATCAACATTTTAGGAGCCCAGTTCAAAGTAGTTGTTGCTGTTATTGTTTAATCACGAGGGGTTTGTGGTGTTAATTTTTTGACCCTCCTCCCCAAGACTGGGTTCCAAATGCTTTCACTTGATGATGAGGCTGGATGACAGAGACTAAAGTTCCAAATTTCGTAAGTGAGTAAAGCATCTGAGACTGTCAGAGATGACACATCCACTAAATACTGATGCAGTTAAAGGAAGGAAATGGGAAGACTCGCATGCCTTGCCCGTATTTGCAGGAGCATCTTCTCTCGAGATTGTACTGTACAATATTTAACTGAGGAATGTGATCGTGAGGAAGTCACATCCCCTTTCCAGACCGTCACTTATAAAATTAGAGGATTTGACTAGACCATCTCACTTCTCTTCAGTGCTAAAATTAACGCAATTGTTTTGTATATACACTTACAGATTCCCATTACCATAATGAAACCCCACGAGAAAGCTGAAGTCCCAACCGGAGTTATAGTAGGAAGTGCAATCGCTGGAATCCTTTTGTTATTAGCTCTGGTTGCAATTTTATGGAAGGTAAGAAATGTTTCATATTTTAAAAATACAGGGGTCCTGAAGACCTCTGTCTTGAATTTCCTTATCACAGAGCAACCCTAAGTTTTATATGGTACCTCCTCGTTTATCAGAAGAAAACAGGAAATGCAAGTTTATTTGCAAATTCTCACTCATGTTCTTGAAAACAATCAGTAAGGATTTTATCTCCTTGGTCTTGGTCCCTTTTCTCCAACCTTCTTTCATCCAGACACTGAATGTTTTGTTCACCTGCAAGTAAGTAGACCCTGAAAAATTTAACTTTATGCAATTCATTTCAACTCTGGGTATTAATCTCCTCACTGAAGGGCTGATGCCAGGTCAGTACTCTGCACACTGACCTCTCCAGATCCCCACGATTCCCAGAGGTGCAAGGAGCAGGGAGTCTGGGTCCATTCAAAATAAGCCAGAAGTGGTAATGTTTTTACATCATCATCTTACAGCTTGGATTCTTCAAAAGAAAATATGAAAAAATGACCAAAAATCCAGATGAAATTGATGAGACCACAGAACTCAACAGCTGAATCACCCAGCAGTTCCCACTGCAGTGGGAAGGGGCAGCATCACAGCCAGGGTTTACTATTTGCATGAATGGGTTTCTTTAAAATCCCAGTGTAACTTAATAATGTAATAGGTAAACTAGAACTGCAGGTCAGTTTGGAAAGAAACTGTGAGGGATTTGGGAGGGCAGGGGTATAAAGGGTAAAAGACTATTTTATGTTGGGGGGAAAGTGATCTTTACGTTGGCTGGTCCAGAGTTTACATGTAATGCTTCCAAACAGGAGAACTCTCTTAAAGAAAAATATAACCTTTCTCAGAATATTTTTTGGGGAAAAACCCAATCATTTAAAATGATTGTTTTTAAACAACAAAAGTGGAAGTACTCGGTATAGGTATATAATTAGCTTGGATATACTGATGCTGATGATGGGCAAAAAAAACCCCACAGGTCTTCAACTTAATGCTGCTCGTCCAAAGTTGCCACAGAGGATATTTTCAGTGATAATTATGTTTATACACTAGGTAAAATTCGCTGTTGTCAGCCCACAGCTGCTTCCTTAGAGTCCCTTTCTTGCGATGATGTACTTATCAAAACACGCTTGATGACTGGTAGGGGCCTCCTGCAGAGGAAATCTCCATTTCACTGGGGGAGGGTTAGGGGCCTCAAGGATTTAGAGGCCAGAAGCACAAACTTTTGTTTAAAATCTGTAACGTCATTTATGGTAGAACCTTGTCTGCTGGAGGCCACGCCTGGAAGAAGGAGGAAATTTTTCTCCTTTAGGATGGCTGACCCTGGCTGGCTGGCAGCCGGGGAGGGAAGACCTTGTGAATTTTTGAAAGATGAGTAATTTCTCTGGAATCCTTCCTCCTTCCACAATGAACCTCTCCCACCTCCTGGTGCCCCCATATTCTTGATGCCTGCTGCTGCCCGCCTTCCTCTCCAGGAGTCCAGAGTTTTCCACCCTCCTTGTCCAAATCTCCCACTCCCAGGGCAGCTGCTCTTCTCCAGGTGTGAGAAGGAAGCCATCTGTTTCACTTCCACACTTGCGTGAATTACTGTATAATCCCCTTAACTTCAGGGAGCTATTTTCATTTATTGCTAAATATGCAAGAAAAGCCCAAGTGAATTTCTAATTGTTGGGAGTTCAGGCAGGGTAAACAAGGTAAAGTATAAACGTCTCAGGAATTTGCAAGAAGTTACAAGGAGACATCAGAAACCACCAAATCAGCATGTGCACCTGCTGTGCTTGTCTGTTTCTGGTGGACTTACACTTCCAGAAGACAGACCTGGGAGTTTGCTCACCAGATAGAGTCTCACGCCCCAATTCTTGAGAGTCTTATTTAGTCATCAGATCGGGATGAAGCCTGGCGACCTGTATTTTACAAGCATCCCGGTCCTTATGATGTAAATGGGCCACTGTGAGGACCACCACCCATTTCTCCTTCTGCACCTTCTTTTCTCTACTTCTGAGCCCACCTATCCTCTAGGGGGGACTGGGAGAAAAAGGGCAGTTACGTCAGGAAGTACATACCTAAAGCTTCAGACAAGTCACTTAGCCTCTGTAAACTTCAGTGTCCTTGTTATAAAATGGGGAGACTGGGGGGGAGCTCAGCAGCGACGCTTTTAACTTTAAAAACCTACTATCTGGGTTTCTTATAACACAAATAGACAATCCTCCAAGAATCTGACACTGAAAAGAATTCGGAGGAAAACAGGTATTTGCCCACGGGTGCCTGTGATGGCAGTGCAGGGCTGTCTGCACAGTTACAGAATTTATTTTGCATCTGACAAAACAAAGGGGGGGAAAAAAAAACAATTAGAAATAAAACATCAGGGGTTTACAGCAAAAACAGCATGGTACTCTTTAGTTACATGGGCTAGAGCCCAATTCTTTTAACAGCTGGATTCAGACACTGTTTCATTCCAAGAAAAATTGTTTTAAAAAAAGAGTGGAGGGGAAACTGGTCATTAAGTTGATAAAGACTATTTAATAAACTGGGTAACTGCTGTATATATTTACTAGTTTTTTGATGTAATATACTGAGAACATTGGAAGTCATCCTTTTATTTTGCTCTGCCTCCCCTTCCTTAGATGATTGATAAACACTAATCTGAGGTCACATACTCACAGGGAGCTTGCGAGCTCTGGCAAGCCTTGCCTTGGATGAACCGCCCTGACGGCACTGTTGCCATGAAGGAGTTGGATTACTATAAACTAAAAAATTAGCCATTTGTCTCTGCACCATTTATCACACTGGGGCAGGGTTTCTCAGCCTGGGCACTACTGACATTTGGAGCCAGGTAATTCTTTCTTGCGGGGGGCCTGACCTGTGCATTGTGGGATGTTCAGCAGCATCCCTGGCCTCTGGCTATGGCCTCTACCTACGAATACCAGACGCTCCCTCTCCCACTCATCGTGGTGATCAAAAAATGTCTCCAGACACTGGCTAACGCCTCCTGGAAGGCAAAATCACCCCAACTGAGAATCACTGCACTAAGCAAGTGGCCTAAATATACAACTTCTGTTACCAGATCACAGATTTGAGGCAGAGGGTCTAGTGAGGAGTATTTCTCAAGCACTTTTAAGCAAAGGTTGAGTATTCATCCAAGAAATTAAAAAATTATTTGAGAAAAAAAGCTCTGTATTCCTATTCAGCCATACTTTTATTTTAAAAGTAAGTAGAATATGGGGCTTAAAAGATGTCATCTTTCAAAGTTTCCATTTCATAAATGGTGTATAGACAATATGTATAGAATGTGATAAGAATTGAGTTGCTTCATGCATGGCTGCCACAAAAGCCTTACAAAATACTAAAGTAAAAACAGCCTGTGAAAAAACTGCATTGAGATTTGAATTTGTGCATTGTCCATTTTAGCAGCAAAATGAGAACTGGACAGACTCCTAGCTGGCTGTGCTATTTTTATAAAATAGTAAAAGTTATTAACTGTGAAAAGAAAACTAAAACCAATTTATCATAATCACACAAGTGATTATACTACAAGTTATTATAGAAGGTATAATTTTATAATGTATCTATTCTGATATACAGCTATAACGTAATATGACAGCCCCATAAATTAAGACATCATTAGGCAGAAAGCATTAAAAAGGATTCCTCAAACTGAGCTCCCTGGTCCATCATTAATACAGTTTGCACACAGAAAATAATTATATACACAGCTGTTAGGACTATGCCCTCATTAACGCATACTCATTTCAATCAATTCGAAAGACTAGACCTCTAGAGATAAAAGGTATACATGGGGGTAAAGTTTGAAACAAAAATGTTAACTATTTCTTTGAACCTTAAAGGATGAAAATGTAGCCATTATGTAAATATTAAAAAATGGTTTCATTCGTACCTGATTTATTTTGGCAGATAAAGTCAAAATGTAAATGTATATATTGCACAACTATGTTAAATTGTATTATTTTTTTAAAGACAAATTGTCTAGGATAGTTTCCTTCACACATAATGTATAAATCTTTGTTAAGTATATTTGCTTTTTTGACAAACTGGGTTTTGTCTTTTTTTCTCTCCACCAAAAATATAAAAATGAATATGCATGTTTATATATGAAGTTTCACAATTCGTTTGATTTTTGAGAAGCAAAAGATCAAATTGGAGCAGTAATCAACATAAACTAGTTAAGAGCTTTTCTCCTATTAAAGTATGAGAATCAAACAGAAAAGTATTATTTAATTGTAAACCCCTCTTTAAATACATTACTGAATACAATTAAAATCATTTCGAAAATAAAGCTATTTACTTCGGAATTTGAATTTTACGACAACGTATTTCACTGTATTTATCTTATGCACTCACTGTGCTTCAGAACACATTCAAGACTCAGTAGAAGAGTGAGGATGTATCTAACCTCTTATGCTAGTAGCAGTGGCCACAAGGAAGCTTTTGCAGGAACCTTAAACCGCCTTCATAGCTTAGAGACTAGGTGTAAAGGCTTGCTCCTCACAACGTGGCTGATGGGTAGGCAGCGCTGCATCACCTGGAGGCTGTTACAAAATGCAGATCTCAGGCGCCACACAGAACTGAATTCCAATTGGAAGTTTAAGATCACCAGATGATTCATATTATGTTAAAGTTTGAGAAGCACTACTCTAAAGTACAACTTACCTCTAGATATAAATATGTGCTTGATATAGAAAAAAAAAAATCAGTCAAACCGCTGCAGCCTATATGAGTAGTCATCGGCATAGTTTTTAAAAAAATTTTAACAGTGAGCTAGAGGGTTTACAATCTTAAGGATTAAATATGCTGAGATGAACGTGCTGAATTTATAAAACAAGATACATATCAGGCTCATAGACTGGCCCTCATTCTATAGCTGGCACATCAATGCAAAGGTTGCTGGGTATGTGTTGCCTTTCACACCTACGCACAAACACCTCCAATTCCTACCAGGTGAACTCCCACGTGCCTTCCTCAGTTTGGCCCATCTCAGTTCTGATGAAGCACATGATATGGGCAGCTGATTGCAGAACCACCACCGGTAAGCGTATCTGGTATGCTTCGTACATTAAAATACAACTCTGAAGAAAAAGAACATTCATTTTTCTTTGGATTGTCACAGAGTAGGTTAAAGACCTGTATCAAATCTACCATTCTGTCCCAAATCGGAAGTTTTATATTTATGTATTTTTAAAAAGTAATTCCTTTTATTCATTCTATATCACCTTTTAAAAACTACACAGAACATTTTTAAAAAATTCCTCATCCTATCATAACCCTTTAATATTTTAAACTAAGAAACCAATTAAAGATTGGAAATAATCTTATTCAAAAGGAGGGACTGATTTTCATCTTAGGACCACTCCAACCTAACTAAAAGAAAAAGGCTACTAACTAAACCGAACTTCTTGATTCTGTGCAAAATGAAGGTAAAAAGTTAACTCAAGTTGTTCTTACTATAGTCCTAGCTCTACTGCCCTCTGCTGGGTGAGCTACCTAACTACACCACACAAATCGTTACTGCCTTAAGAGAGGCCTTTACTACAACTAGGTGCTCAGGAACTATGTAGGAGAGACATTGCAGGATGGGAGTGAGGAAGAGAGTGCAGAA